AACAATTTATACAGAAGACTCTAGATGCAGTTGCAGAGGATGGAATTTGGGGTAGCAAGAGTGGTGGTGGAGAAGCCAGTGAAGAGATAACTACAGCTGCCCAAGAAAGAAAGAAGCTCCTACATCTAACCAATGGTCCTGGAGGTGGAGTAGTTGGCAGCTGAGTCAGGAAGTATCTAGGTGGTCAGAGGAGCCGGTGTACCAATGGGAAGGTGAGACATCAGGGAGCAGAGAGAGGGGGCAATGAAAACTGAGACTGACTTCCAAATTTCCAACTTGGGTTGGCAAGCAGTACCATTGAGGGAGGAGGACAAACAGCTCAGCTTTAACTGAGGTATCAATAGAATCTACCAGGCAGTTGAATGACCCTGACTATGACCCTTAATCATGAGGAGAAATCTAGGCTAGAGATAAGGATTTAAGTCATCAATGTCCAGATGAGAGTTCAAAGTATGCAACCCATGGAGAGCATTAGAAAGGGAAACAGTGATGGCCCCAGCAAGAGTGTATCTATGGGCCACACAACAGGTCAGTGTCCTGCATGCTGCTGAATTGTACACTTAAAAATGGTTAAAATGGCTAATCTTATGTGTGTACGTATGTATGTATGTATGTATATATAAATATACATATATCTTTACTGTAATTTTTTTAAGTGGTAAAAAATACTTCAGGCAAAATTTAAAGTATATAGCTTTCTTAAAAAAAAAAGTGGATCCAAGGGCATGCCAGCATTTCGGGGACTGCATATAAGGAGAAGCTCGTGCCGAAGGTAGATAGGGAATAATCAGAAATAGGATGAGGGAGGCTCAGAAGAGTGCTGTCACAGATGCTAGGAGAACTGACTTCCAATAAAATGCAGGGCAGGGTGGGTAGAGAAGTGAGATAATCACTAAGGTTGCTTCCAGAAATAACAGTCAGAATATATAAGCTATGGGAGAGAGAGGGAAGTTTGTTCTCTGGGCTCACCCATCCAGAACTTCTCAGCAGCAATAAAATGACTTAAATTTCATCTTTCAAAATACAACTTGCCCATGCTCTGCCAGCTTTGTCTGGGCAGGAAACAGAGCTCAGACCAGCTGCTGAGGATGGTACTAAATTCCACTTGAGAGCCCTGGAATGTGACACCTCCCAAGCGCCAGCCTCTGCCCTGGGAGGGAGGAAAGCAGCTTGGAAAGGAAGGGTGTGGGGGTGAGGGCTCAGGGTGCAGAGCCCTCGAGCCTCCACAAGGTCTCCCATCTGAGCAGGACAAATCAACATGCTCTAGTCCCTTCTGCCTCTGTGCTGTTCCCTCTCATGAGATGGCCTCTCAGTATTTAGAACAAGCAGGTTGCTCCTAGACCCTGGGCAGAAAGGACTCTTCCTTGAGGGCTTTCTCACAGTGCTTCAAAGGTGACCTCACTCAATACAGAGGTGGAGGGAGGGATGAAGAGGGACCATTTGTGTAGCCTCATGCTATAGCAAATCCGCCTCGTGGTGTCCTGGAGTGCCCCGTGGCAGCATCAGTTACCACCTAAATCCAGGGAAATAGCATTGCCAGCTTTTAAGAAGCTCTAATGGATCATTGGCTATTTTCCTGTTGCATTTTTGGCAGAGTTGGGCTAATAACCCTTCAATGTGGCAAAATACACCTGCTAATTCATTCTTTTCTGGTAAATGTTCAAAAGATAGCCTAGTCTAACCATGTGAAAGAATCTGAGTGTCTTCAGAAAATCAGTGTTAATACTCAGAATCTGCAAACCTAGCAGAGATCATCAGTACAGCAAACCCACCACCCGCCAGTGAGGGCTCTCACACCCTTCTGTTAATAACCCACATGCACTCTTGTCCAAAAGTAATCATTACAGTTACCAGGGCCCATCCTAGGATAAGCTGAGGAAGGAGAAATTGGAGGGGTCCCTGCAGTGGGAGCAGTGAAGCAGGTGAACAAACAGAAATGAGACCTCCAAAACTGATATATGAAAACCTCAGTGTATTATTGTGGGATGAAGATTATGGCTGAGTCGCAGCAGCCAGTGGGCTGGAAGCTGAAGCCCAGAATTGAATACATTTAGCAGCCTCGTCACAGAAATGAGGCCTGTCTGGGGAAGACTTACAGCCAGGGGTGGGGTTACCTCAAAGCTGGCCAAGTCAGGGATCCTCACTTGAAGGGGGCCCTTCTAGCCCTTCTAAGGCCCTGGGGGAGACCCTTATAATTCTGCATTTGTATTTTTATGTTCTTTTTCTTATGCCCCCCAAAACTGTACAAGCATCAGGCACCTCACCCCCTTCCACTAAACCAGCTTAAACAGAGCAGTAGATAACCCCGCTCCCCATGGGTGGCTTGCTCAGGGGAGAAAGGGGAGACCAGATGCCATCATGCCCGGTGTGCTCTGGCCTTAACTACCTGGAGCTGCATGCACAGGATGCCCTCAACATGGGCTGATATGCAGGAGTGGGGAAGAGCTCGTGCCTTAACTGAGACAGTTATCCAGACCGAGCTGAACACACTTCCTTGGTCACACAGTGACCCAGGCCTGGGAAACACATCATCCCAGCCCAAACCCAGCTTGGAGATGGAGGATTTCACAAAGTTCCTTTACACTGAGCTTCCCCCGGGCTCCCACTAATTCTTCTTGGTGGTGTCCTCCTCCCTCTACCACAGCAACCCACAGAATAAGCAGAAAGGAGCCCCAGTGTTTGATGCTCTATTGTCCAGAGGCCTGCCTCGCACCTGTCACACTCCAAGTGACTCGAACAAGATCTCTCACCCCCATGCCCAGCATCCGAAATGCAAAGTTACCTAGAAACCTACCAATTAAGAGATGTTTGCATTATTCAAATTTCCAAATCTGTACCCGAGAAAACAGTGCCTCCTTGTCTTAAAAGAGATGCCCTCACTTGTTGAGCTGGGAAAAGAAGGAATTAAACCCTGACGCAGAGATTTGGCCTTGCAAGCCAGGCAGCCTCTGGGGAATGTTCTCCTGACAACAAATGCCCAGAGGGAAGGAGCTGGGCTGGGCGCATCCTGCCCTCGTGTTTAATGTGCTCTGTCCTCAGGCTCAACAGCAGGCCTCTGTGGGAGCCTAGTACTCTTCCAAATTTGATAGGGGTAAAAAGCCATAAAATTATTCATTGAAGAAAACGGATGATCTCCCCCAAGCACCCCCGCTGGAAGAGGCACTACCTTAAGCTGCTTGCTTTACCCCAAGCCTCCTTTCAGCTCTAACCACACACACCCGAGCCCCCCACCTCCTACCAAAATTTTTTAAATTAAAGGGCCACGCTGATTTTTTAAACTTTGTTTTTATTTTTTAAGTAAAATAAGAATTTAATTAGTATTGATAGGGTCTTAGGAAAATAAGAATGGTAGGAATCAACCTTTGGCTATTCATCTGCTGCTTTTTTTCCCTCTGAAATCTCTTTGGAAGGTTTCGGGAAAATTATTTGCAGGGGCTGCCCAGGACGGGAGGGTGTCAGAGACAGAGTTTCCCGGGCAAGTCAGCTTCTTGTACTTTGTGTCATAAAATCACACCTGTGCAGGTGCCCACTTTAGGCTCCCCTCCCAGTGAGGACTCTCAGAGAGAGAGCCTGGAGTTTCCAGGCTTGAAAGCTGACTCGTCCTGAACGTTCAAGTTCTCAGAAGCCACCTCACCTGCTGCCAGCTAGCCATCCAAGACAGGGCCTGGGTAGGGACCGTTCCAGGTAGGCTGACCTAAGTGGCCCCACGCAGCCCCAGGGGGGTGACCATGTGGGCCTGGGGTCTCTCCAGTCCTGGTCACCCTTTGCCCTGGTAAAAGGGGACGGCAGAGGCCAAGCCCACACATCTACCTGTCCTTCATCAGGCTGAGAGCAACAGTCAGCCCGTGACCCTCCTGGGCTTTTTGCTTTTGAGAGCAGGTGGCAGCTAGCACAGGGTATGGGAACAGACAGTGAGCTGGGACACAGGTAGGGGACCAGAGCTCAAGGATCCAAGGCAGTTTGCCCCAGTGCAGGAGAATGGAGCCGCACTGTGAGCTCTGGAACATTCCACATGCTTCTTGGCCAATGGCTGAGCCTGCTCCTTAGCACCCAAGGGGATTCTTCATCTTGAGACTTAGTGAATATACAAAGGGACTCATTTAGAATAACTGAACTAATTTCATGAATAAAGCAAACACCACGTACTTAACAGTGCAGATGTGTGTTTCCGCAGATTACATGGAGCCATCCTGTGTGAACTGTCAATCCCCCTTCACAAGCTTGTCAAGTGAAACTCCAAGCCAAGACCATAAGGGGAAGGCAGGCTTTGCTGTGGTCCCTTCCCTCCCTGACTTCATTCTGGAGGACCCCACCACACTGGGTGAACTAACTTCCATTAGAGGGCTTGCAGAAGTTGAATTCAGTCTCAGTTGCTCATGCAACTGCTTAAAGTTTAGTCGTTAACATACAGATATTTCTTAAGTAACTTTTTGCAAATCTGACATTATAATGTAATGGTTAAGTGGGAGTTGCATAGGTTCTAAAATCAGACTATGAAGGTTCAACTTCCAACTTAGCAACATTAAAATTGTGGGCATACAAATATGTCCACAAGCCTTGGGTGAGTTATATACCTTTGCTGAGTCTCCAGTTTCTTTACCCACAAAGAGGAGCTAACAGTTCCTACCGGAGTATTTTAACAAGGTCATTGAATGGAGATGAGGCATATACAGGGTTTTGCATAGGGCCAGGAATGTAGATGCTACACAGCAAGGGTCTGCTGTTAGTGAAATTAGTTCTGAAGGCATCCATAAAGATGCAGTGACCCTGAAAACGTCATCCTAAAAACACTAGGCAGCATCGCCGCAGTCCTCTACCTCGGCCTCTGACCTCCAATCATTCCCTGCTCAGGTCCACACTCTACAGCATTGAAAGCATTTGCTTCCCGAGAAACAAACCCAACCACGGTGTCCCCGGGTCACGCTGGGCTGGACTTGCCCGGCGTTCACTGCGGATTCCCCACCTCCCTTCCACCCCCACTCCTTGCACTTGGTGCTCACCTTTCTGTGCAGGAATACCAGCCTTTCCTTCACCTTGCTGGTTGAGAACTTGGTGTCAACTCCTCTGTGAAGAGCAGGTTCCCAGGCACTCGGCTCTCAGCACTTGCTAAGAGCAGTAACAGCCAGCTGATTAAACCCAGGACCTCTGCAACCAAACAGACATGGTTAAAATTCTGATTCCTTCCTGTGGCCTTGGGCAAGTTTCTTCACCTGTCCTTGCCTCAGTACTTTAATCTATAAGATGGGAAAAATAATAAATTGAATTCAGCAGGTTGTTCATGAGGATTAAATGAACTAACATATGGGAAGCATTTAGTACAAGGAAAGAACAGTCCCTGGCACATAGTAAGTGCTCAGTACCTACTAGCTGTACTAATAACAATTCATATATTATCACCATTATTATTCCACCAGAATGTAAGGTCTTTAAGAGTAGAGACTGTTTTGTTCACTGCCTGGCACGTAAAAGGTGCTGAGTATATAGCTGCTGATTAACACACAGCCCCTTGCATGTGGTTAATTGTCTACACATCTCCCTCAGCAGACCAGGAGCACCTGGATTCTAATTAATCCTGTATCCCTGAGGATACAATGGGCAAATGGGTATTTTGCTTAATGGGCAAAGAACAGATCCTCAAAAAATATTTGCTGAATGAATGCATGAATCAGCCTCTGAGGTTGCATGTATTTGTTCTATCCTAGTAAAACATTTGCTGCCAGTGCAAGTTTATCATAAATTCATGCCCTTGGCTGGATGGTGACTCTTTTGCACATGGGTGTATGTGTAACAACTGCTGGAAGGTCCTGAAACTAGGCAGTGCATGTGGGGACTCCCTTGGAGGCTGTCTCCAGAGCAGGAAGAAGTTGCTCCAGGAGCTCCTGCTCCTGTGTGTCCATCCCTCACCCTGCACCTGGCCCCTCCTGGGTCCCACAGCTGTCCCCCTCCACTACAGCCAGGAAGAACTGTGGCTTGTAGGGGACAGACCAAGCCTGGCTGGAGAAAGGCCAGATGTAGCTTTGTCCAAATCCAGGAGTTCTCCCAGGACAGAAGCCTCTCTCCTTGGTGGGCCGGGTCCTTCTCCCTCCCCTCTTCACAGAACATCTCCTTCTTCCAGGGGGCCTACGAGCATTTCCCCACAATATATCTGCCTTTCTGCTTCAGTTCCTCTAACTAAAGTGAAAAATAAAATCAGGAGAGGGAAGAATGAGTATAATGTGAATAAATTCAGTCTGTAGTCTTTACTAAATTATAACTTAGTAGTAAAAGACTGCTGTTTTATGAGCCCCTCAGTAACCAAAACCACTTATTATTCCAAGTGCAAACAGATTTATGATCTGAATCGCCCACCATGTCTGTTGTCATTGGAAATAGAGGGAGGGTGAGTTACATATAGCTCAGTGTTTGACACAATAGCTTTCATCCCAATCACCTGACCACGTCTGCTTACATCTCATAGCATTTTATCCTCCCATGAGTGCAGTGAAGCAGGTGAGGTTTAGTATCCCCATCTTATGGCTGAGGAATGTAGAGACTGAGAGATTAGGAGGGTTGTGCTTGACTAACAGTAAGTTTGGGAAGTGCATGAGATTCCCACGTGCCATCACTGCAAGCCTCAGCCTCTGCCTCAGCTCGTGCATATATGCTGTGGGTCCAGAAGCTGCAGCCCCTCTACCATGGCCCTGTGCATCCTCCAGCCCCCGGGCTCTCTTCCCACCCACTGCCCAGCCCTGCACCTGCACTTGAGGCTGCAGCTCCCTCGGGGGCAATCTGGCATTCCCAGGCCTTGGCTTAGTTGGGGCCAGAGTGTTTAGTTCCCTGGCTTTTTAGTCAAAGACATTCCAGGGAAGAAAAGCTGCCTTTAAACAGCTTCCAGTAGCCCCTGTTGAGCCCTCAGAGTGGGAGTGAGTCAAATCCCAGCTCTGCTATTCACCTGCTGTTACCCTGAACAGCCCACCAAACTTCCTCCTCTGTAAATTGGGGCAGGGGTCAGCTTTGAGAATCCAATCATACTGTAAACAGTCTCCCCAGAAAACACTTGCACTAAAGAACCATGAGTGTCATTTCAGGGGGCTTCCATCCACTTGAGCCCATCTGTGGACCCCAGAGGACCACTGACCCTGGGTAAGAACCCCTGGGGCAGGTGAGCTCTGACACCAAAGGTGGGCGGGCCCCACATACACATTTTTAAGGAACCACTTCAGTCATTTATATTCTTACTCTGAAATGTTTAAGAAAAGAAAATACAGATTTTTTAAAGAAAATATTACCATAAACCCACTACCAGCAAAACCACTATTAATATTTTAGTAAATATTCCTTAGGCTTTCTCTCACACTCTTGACATATATATAAAAATCCACTTGTATCAGGAGTGTTTTCTCGTGCCATTTAAATATTATTTGAAAACACAATGTCTACATAGTAACTGATTGCATGTTAATTCTACAGCATACTTTTAGCCATTCCTAATTGTGTCTAGATTGTTTTCCTTTATCATCATCATCATCTTCTTCGTCATCTGTGCAAACATACCTGATTATTTCCTTGGGTATAAGGTTTGACAGCCTTACTCAGAAGGAGCACACCATGAGAAGTGATTCCTATGGCAGGTCGCCCTGACCGCCCACAAAAGCTGTCCCCTTTGCACTCCAGTAGCTGGGAGGGACGGGGAGAGAGGGGGGGAAGGAGGGGAAGCGAGGAGACTTCAATCTGCTTCCTTGAACCAGCAGCCCTAGGATACTGGCACCAAGTGGGGTTCCTGTTTGCTAGGAGTTAACAGCCATCCCAGACTGCAGTAAGCCTGTCTGTTTTCAGGACTAGCCCTGGCACGTTTTGAAATGGGTACAATTTGTCTTGGGTACCTGCCTCCCCCGCCCCCCTCCCCCGCCCAAATATAAGCCCCTTGATCTAACAGCAGCATTGACTCAGCCACCACACCCCTCGCCTCCGGGTCGCAGCAGCTGCTCCACCCTCCATTCCCTGGAATCCATCTGCCCTTTCCTCCTATCAGCGGGCTCTAGGTTTTGCCTCCTGGCTAGGTTGCACCTCTGTGAGCGCATTCAAGGGAGCAGACTGAATCCTAAGTAGCCTGTCCTGAGTTCAGCCCAGGCGGGGTGTTGGGGCAGGAACAGCAGCCCCAGGGAGTGGGAGGCAGTCACCAGGGGGAGGGCGATGGTCCTGAGGCAGGGGACAGTGGTGGCCGCCTCAGTGCCCAGCTGCTTGGGCGGCTGCCTGCTCTGCCCCTGGCAGGGCTGGTACTTCAGAATGTTGCTCAAATTGAAAAGCAGGGCCTTCTGATAAGAGGGATCCATTTTTCTCATGAGAATTGCCTGCATGGAGTGTTACCCAGACTACTGGGCAGAGTTTGAACCGTTTGTTCTTCTCTGGCCCTTGAATCTGCACACTGGATGGGCGTGTGGGGAGGGAGAGACCAGCAGTGTGGCCGGCCCCTGCTGACCGCCCTCTCTCTTGGCCCCGCAGTCCGACGGCTCCATCCTGGCACTCGCCCTGCTGATCCTGTTCCTGCTCCTGGCCCTGGCCCTCCTCTGGTGGTTCTGGCCGCTCTGCTGCACCGTGGTAAGTGTGTCAGGCTCCTTCCGCCTTACCTCAGGCCTCTGCCACTCAAAGCAAAGGGTGACGACACAAGGTTAACAGGACCATGAGTAGGAAAGGGCGACAAAAAAACTGTAAAGATCGAGGACAAATCTTGCATTGTTTATATAATTTATATAAAGTTAGCATAGACTAATATGATCAATGGGACCTTGAGTCACCAGGAGCCAGTATTGGTTAGAGGATGAGGCTACCAGTGGGCACACCCTTCAGGTAGGCAGCTGAGGTGGCCACTTCAGCTCCAGTGCTTTGGGAAGGAACCACAGAGTACTGCAAATGACAGGTGTCGTTTGACATGTAATACGTACACATGCATGGTACTCACACTCACATTCTTCCAAGCCCACCCTGGTCTTAGCAACTAGTCTGTCCACCTGAGATAATGCCTTGGGCCTCTTTATTTGTAATAATAAAGAGTAGCACCTGCCTTTATTTCATTACTTTTAGCTTACATTTAGAGATTACACCTACTGTGTGCCTGGCATTGGTCTAATCACTTTTGCCACAAGATCAATAAGAACCTGTCACCTCCCCATCATTGTCATCTAGAGCCACCACATAGCTCCAGCCAATGGCTCCCCAAATGGCTTAGGGCCTCAAATAACCTGCCATCACCTGCCATGCCCAAATGATACATGCATGTTTATCAACTTCTATTCCCTGACCCCTAGGCTAGGAACAGCCCAAACAAAGTAGTATCCAAGTGAAGGAAAAACATTAGCTCTCACATGTCTGGTTCCAGCATGTGCCTGCCTAGATGCAAAATCAGAGTATGCGCTGTGAAGGCCAGGTGAGTTTGCCGTGAGCATTGCTCTGCTGCCAGGGCAGCTTCCCTTCCCTGTATCTTAGTTCTCCATGGAGAATCTAGCAGGGGAAAATAGAAGGGGAGCCTCTCCAGGCAAGAACTTGTCTTCACTTCACCTCTGAAATCCTAGTGCTGAGCACACAGTGCAAGGGGACTCACATCTGTGTGTAGGGCTGAGCTGAACAAAGATCAAAGACTCATAATGTCATACTTGAAAAGAAGGGGAGATGGTTCAAATGTTATCTCAGAGAGGTGGGAAACAGAAGAAATAAGAGACTCGGCCAGGATGTGGACCCATATGGCAGGGACTTCTAGAAAGAGGTTCTTGCACCACCAGAAGCCCCAAGGTGTTCAGGGAAAGAGATGACCTACAGCAGACAAGAATGTGTGTGGGAGGGACCCAGGACAGGTGCAAGTCTCAGACTGGACTCACTTCACCAAGATTTTAACCAGATTCTTCCATGGCAGCCCTCAGACCTGAATGTTGCTTTAAATACTTAAAGCTGCACAACCATTTTTATTTTGAGAGTAAAAAAAAAAACACCATGAGTCATATATAATGCTTTCTATGGTGACTCAAAAACAAGCATATTTTCAAGTCTGGAATTCTGAAAAATTAAGGACAAAAACCCATGCAGCAGGCTCCTAAAGAAGGGGCTGGCAAAGGGTTGGGGAGGAGGAGGTACAGCAGACAGTGGACACCAGGCCTTCTATTGTAATAGGCACCACCCTCAGTCATCTACTCCCTTTGATTATTAAATACAGTTACCTCCAGTTTGGGACAGCTAGGAGCAATAGAACAGCCAGGCAGTGTTCCATCACTTAGTAGCTGTGTGATCCTGGGCAAGTTACTTAAACTCTCTGTGCCCCAGTTTCCTCATTTATATGATGAGAACAATAACAACACTGACCCCATGGGTACATGGTAAAAGATTAAAGATGTTTAATATATACTGCTTAGAATATAACAAGTGCTATATATTATTATTTTTATTATTATTTAAAATATGCATTACAATAGGAATATATTACTGTACTATATGGCATTCATTTTATATTGGTAGGAAATGTCTCTTCTAGTGAGATATAATTGATATATAATGTGTATAAGTTTAAGGTACGTAATGATTTGGTACATATATGTATTACAAAATGTTACCATAAAAAAATAAATAAGTTTAGTGAACACCCATGACCTCACATAGTGAAGCAAATTTTTTCTTTGGGATGAGACCTTTTAAGATTTACTCTCTTAACAAGTTTCAAATATACAATACAGTATTAACTATAGTCACCAGGCTGTACATTACATCCCCGGGACTATTTATCTTATTACTAGAAGTTTGTATCTTTTGACCCCCTTTACCCAATTCCCCCACCTCCTTCCCCCCACCCCAACTCTGACAACCACAGATCTGATTTCTGTTTCTATGAGTTTGGTTTTTTTAGACTCCACATATAAGTGAGACCATACAGTATTTGTCTTTCTCTGATTTATATCACCTTAGCATAATGCTCTCAAGGTCCATTCCATCTTGTCACAAATGACAGGATTTCCTTTTTATGGCTGAGTAGTATTCCACTGCATTTACATATGCCACATTTTCTTTATATATTGAACCATCAATGGACACATAGGTTGTTCCCATGTCTCGGCTATTGTAAGTAATATTACAGTGAACATGGGGCACAGATACTTCCAGGATAGTGATTTCCTTTCCTTTAGATACATACCCAGAAGTGGGATTGCTGGTGTGGGATTGTAGGGTATTTCCATTTTTAGTTTTTTGAAGAACCTCCATGCTGTTTCCCATACTGACTATAGCAACTTATATTTCTACCAAGAGTGCATTAAGGGTTCCCTTGCTTCCACATCCCCTCCAGCATTTATCTCTTATCTTTTTGATGATAGCCCTTCTAACAGGCATGAGGTAATACCTCGTTGTGGTTTTAATATGCAGGGAAGTGTCTCTTAATACCTTTCATTATTGGAAGCAGTGTCACCCAAGGCCAGACTGTTTTTGCAATATTCAAAATATTTCTTAATGAATTTATTTGGTGAAGTCCATGTTGCTTTGGAAGGCAGCCAAAATGTCTTAATGTGGTCAGATTTTGTTAAGTCCTAGGGGATTTTTTTTTTTAAGAGAATAGCTTGGAGTTTGATTTTCCTGTTTATGATGTCTATAAGAACTGTCCTCACCCCCTATTTCTGAAAACTGGATGGGGTTCTGATACCTGGTGTGCCCCCAGAACCTACTTTTAGATCACTGGTTTCTTTGATGAGTGATGATGTCTGAGGGGGACAGAATAAAGTCATGTGTTTTCTAAAGGGTGTATACAGGAAGAAGGACAAACATCGCCTCCCAGCCAGGATCCTGGTTAAGATGATGCAAGAAGTTTCTCTCCCCTAAGTGACAGCACCCCTCACCACAGTTTGGAACTAGCAGAGGGCATCCTTGTAAACAAAGGACCTAAAACCTTCCTCTGTGCCTCACCCTGCGCTGCCCCAAGATGCCCCTGTGACCTGGTGTCAAAGCTACATCTCAATGATGGAAAATAGCCAGAGAGCAGAAAGGGCCTGCAAAATGGGGAGTACATGAGGTTTGTCTCTGCTGTGTCCCTTCCTCCCCTTTCTGCAAAGTTCTCTCCAGAAGTGATACACAACATATTTAAGAACCTGCAGGGCCCTCCCAGTTGAGCCAAACATTAGCCCTTTAGTGCCCAGATATGGGACAAGGGCGGAGGGAAGTCTACAACATCCTAGAAGTTGACAGGGGTAGAAGAGCAGGTACTCAGGTCACTATTTACTTATCATAAGGGGCATTTCAAAATGTAATGACCACCGTGACCAGACCAGGCATTGTGGTGACTGTCAGGCCTGCCCTCTGCCTCCTCATCCTCTTGCTTTCTGCCAGCCCTGTCTGGAAGAAAAAATCTGAAGGGTCAGAGTGGCTGGTGCCGCCCATTGCATTTTGCCTTTCCTGAAGGACCCTACTTCCTTCTAGTCTCATCTCTTCCAGCTAGATGGAACCTGGGTTAACCTGTTCTCCACAGAGCATACTCTATTAGTAATGACTGATGGAAAGAGAGAGAATTGGCCAGATCCTGGATCAAAACCTTTCAGTGTTTCCGAACTTGGCCCTTGGTATTCCCAGGTAAACCTTTGGCTTCTAAGATTCCTATATTTATGCATTGGCACAAAAGCACCCACAGTGGAAGAGAGAGAGGCACTGGACTCTGCACCTTGGGTTTATTTGCATTTTCAAGAAGGGAATTCAAGGGGTTGATATTTTATCAGAAAAAAAGCAGTCCTGCCTCAGTTCCACAAGAGGCACTGCCAGAACCCTTTAAGTCATGCTGTGGCCACTCTATCTGCTTATAAGTTCATTCCAATATTATTGCAGTCTCTAAGTGCAACTTGGAAAAGAGGAAGACTAGGAAATCTGAAGAAGAGGATTATGAAGGAGTTGAAATGAGTTGAGTAAAAATATGTATGGCTTGAATGTGTAGAGACAAAGTTAACAATCAATATTAGAGCACTAAACTGTTCTAGAAACTGTAGGCAGCCCTGAGAGTCTACCATCATCCCAGCCAAGAGGCAGCACCCTGATGTGATCCTGCAGCCCACGTAGGCTGGCAGCTTTATGTACAAAGGCCATCACATCCTACAGAACAGCAGGTAGCAAGACACAGATTCTGATGAGCCATGGGGACCGGCTTCTCCAAATCAAAACTCTGGGGATAGAATAAATGCCTACCTGGTCTCTCAGCCCACATGCCCCACCCATCCCTATGCCTAGACCAAGAAATTTTATGTATTCTCTTCTTCTGGTCCCAAAATGCCGATCACTTCCAAAGAGAATTACACAAACATACTGAGGGGGATGCTGCACCTTTATGAGTCCTCAGCACTGCTTAGCAAGCAGACCTCCTCCTAATGGAGCCCCAGATTTCGTCCCACAGTGTCCCGCAGTGTCACCATTCTCCCAGAGATCCCTGACCTGGGACCCTATCCTGTCCGTGGACAACCTGCTCTTCTGTCTCAGTGAAGAAAGGGAAGCCGCCTGTGAGAGGCCTCCCCTTCAAGTAGCACATTTGCGTGTCCTCTTCCAACAGCCCTTCTCCTGGGATGCAGCCCTGCGCCTGCCGCTGCGCTTTC